AGAATAATGGTTAGGGTGTGGATTCTAGGCCAGGCATAAAGGCATATGCCTAAAACCCAGCCAATGTGGAGGCCAGTACGGGAGCATCCTGAGTTTGAGGCTAGTCTGAGATATGATTTTTGATTCTATTTTCAAACAAACATGCAAATTCAGACTGTGGAATAAATGTCTTGGGTTCACATCCTGGTCTTGCAGCTTATCAGTTGTATTGTGTACAGTTTCATTGCTTTCCGTGCCTCAGTGTTCTTCATCTATAAAATGGGTACAATGCTCCTACCTCATAAAGATAAATTGTGTACCACTTTGTGTGCCTGGTGTCTGGAGAGGGCAGAATAGGGTATTCCAGCCCCTGAAAATGGAGTAACAGTTAGAAATCTCCATGTGGTTGCTGTGAATTGAACCTGGGCCATCTGGAAGAGCAGCAGCCAGTACTCTTAACTGTCAGGCTTCCTCTCTAACTACAAGGTAAATAATTTTAAAGAGAAAAATACAAATTTCTGAGAGATTGAGTTCAAATGATCCCATTAGGTAACATTTTAGTTCTGTCTTTCCGAGACTCCTTGACTTCTTTCTTTTTTTAAAAATTTATTTATATTTTATTCTGATTTGTATAAAAATGGTTTCCTTGCCAAATTGGAAGAATTTCTTATTACTTGTATTTAGTGCCAAGGGAATCATTTGTGATCTTATTTTTGCTAGAAACGCAGATTGTTATGAAGTTACCCTTTCCACGTAAGAAACTGGATTAACTAACTCTGCAAAGGAATTTTTTATTAAATATTTTTTTCATAGAAGTACTAAAAAGAAAACCTAGTTGTGGTATGTAGTGGTTTCATCTTACAGCTGAAAAACATAAAAAGCAAAGCCTGAAGAACTGTTTCCTAGAGGCGATGGACTCCTCTGCTTTAGTTTTGAATTCGGCTGTTGTGAGCAAGTTCATGTTTTTTTCCTTTTACGATGACAGCAATAAGGTAGGACCACACTGTGAATCCAGCAGGAAGAAAGCAGCCTCTGCACTTTCTCTAGTGTAGAAGTGGCCATACCCCACAGGCAGCGTATGGTTCTGGCTCAGCCTCCACCACTATTCTGAAGTCTGTATGGTGCCTTGCTAATGCTATGCTCCATCTGTCTGGGTCACTGCTTTGGAGATTGTTTATTTGCAGCAGTGATGCTGAAAAGAGAAGCTCTCTCTTTTGTTGGATGAAAGCTTTCCCTATAATTAGTAAAACAAGCATGCCTCTTCCTTACAGAGAGACTGGAAAGGCGTCCGGAGTCCTCTGTACACAAACACTTGGGGAAACAATTTGGCATTACTTAGAGGACTGAACTTGCTCGCCCCCCCCCCAGACTCACCATCTTTCCTTAGGTAGAGCCTCAAGAAATTTGCTGTGTGTACCAGGGCACATGTGCCAGAATATAATAGCATCATTATTCATGACAGCGGAACATTGAAAATTCCTAAGATCCTCAGTAGTGAAATAGAGCTGGGACTTGTGAATCTGTTCACACAATGAAAAATGTGGAATGGTGAAAAAAAAAATGAATGAGCCAAGCCACATGAATCAACAAGGACAAATCTCAGAATCAAATTTTAAGGAAAGCAGAAGTCTCAGAAGAAGATACACAATATGGTTTCCTTTACATTTGGCTTAAGTTAAGCAAAACACAATGGCGTATTGAGAATACATATGTGGTGAAACCATAAAGAGAAACAAATGACTGATTGATTCAAAACTCAAGCTAGTGGTGCATCTCCATGGCTTCGAAAGTGGTAAAGAATGAGTAGAGAAAATGCAGCCAACAAGAGTGAGAGGGAGAGAGAGAGAGAGAGAGAGAGAGAGAGAGAGAGAGAGAGAGAGAGAGAGAGAGAGAGATGCAGATGTCTGTAATCCCCTGGATTCTGTGGTAGGATAGGTGATGCAGAAAGGAGGGTGTCTGGAAATTCACAGGCTGACAACTAGCCTGGAATACAGCAGTGCTGTGCAACGAACAGGCCTCTTTGTTGTTCACAGCCGTGCATTCCAGGCTGTATACAAGAGTTCTGGGGAATTGAACTTGGGCCTTCATGTTTGCATTGCAAGTACTCTACCTGTTGAGCTATATCCCTAGCTCTGGTACAGCTTCTTGAGGGTCTTCATGTCATGGCAGCCAGCTTCCCTCCAAAGACAGAAGAAGACATGAACTGCAGTTTTATGTAGCCTTAGCAGCATCTCTTTGGCCTCCCCCCAGTGTTGCAGCATTTACCCCCAGCAGCCTCATTCACTGTGGCAGGGATGAACTACACCAGCGCAGGGATGCTGGGAGGTGGAGATCACTGGCCTCCATTTGGGAGGTTGGCTTCCACAGTTACTCTTTAAAACATATTTCAAGAATAACAACTTTTTAGAGACAAACTAAATTGGTAAGTTTATTTTTTATAGTAACTATACAATCGACACTTTAAATGAAGATTACTGCAGATAATGTCTTACCAATTAGAACAGGAAAATGTCACACGTATGAAACTCAGCTCCTTCATGGCAGGTGCCTGCCTGATGAGTTTATGCCTGTAGTGGGTCAGTGGGTGGGAAGGATGGTGAGGAAGATTGGACCCCAGTGATACTGTCGACATGTGATGAAGAGAAGGGCTTCCAGGTACCCAGAGTTCATTTTGCCTGCCTCTGCGACTCCTGATTTTGAAGAGCTGTCTTCATAACGAGGATCATCATGAAGTTACATTCCATGGCATATCTGTGCCTTCTCTGTCGCTGTCTGTAGTGAGAGTGGAGCAGTCGGCCACACTTCCCTTCCCATCCTGTACAAATGAGAGCAAAGCTGGAAATGGCCTAGGGGAGTCAAAACAGGATTTTTTTTTTCCTTAAGAATTCATGAAGCGATTGCATTCTACCTCTTGGTTTAATATTAACAACTTTTAAGTTATTAGTTTATTTGCTTAACCTTCTCCCACCCAAATGTTCGAGTTTGGATCAATGTTTCTAGAAAATATGTATTCTCCCCTTAGTTCCGTGTGGCTATAGAAGTGGCTGCTTAGTGAATAATATTCCTGGGTGTCTAAGTGTCCTGGTTTATAAGGCAGAGTCACTAGTCTCCTTTTTTTGACCCCAACATCTCTGGAAGGCAGTCTGAGCTCCAGGTGAGGATGCAGCTGGGAGAGCATCTCTCACTTCTTTCCATTTTATTTTGTTTTGTTTTTTTGAGACAGGGTTTCTCTGTGTAGCTTTGGAGCCTATCCTGGCACTCTCTCTGTAGACCAGGCTGGCCTCGAACTCACAGAGATCCGCCTGCCTCTGCTGGGATTAAAGGTGTGCGCCACCAATGTTCAGCGTCTCTCACTTCTTAAGCTCACTCACTGGTGGAGTGGACAGGAGGTGGCACCCGCCAACTCCCCTCAAGCGTTTCTCACCGGTTAGTATCACATCTCCAAGCTCTGTGTGTGCAGACATTTGCTCAGTAGAGAGGCCCTTCCCACCAGCACAGGGAGAATTTTCGTTCTCCCCTCTGCTTCTGGTCTTCATTTGTGGGCCACCAGTGTCAGTGCCACGGTATTGCATCATAGTTTTTATTTTATGAAAAGGAGAGTCCTCACCAGCAAGGGCTTCCTTTGATTACTGCAAAGAGGGAAATGACCAGCCTTCCAATGTGATGTTTGTTATTTACTTCAGTTGGCCAACTATACTCTTTTGAGAAAAGGGAGGAAATGAATTATGTGTATAAAATGCCAAAAATACACGAAGGGTTATTGTGCCTATAAGGGAAGTATAATTATTAGTAGTAATTATAGTCATTGTGATGATTACAGGATTAATGGTACTATTAAGCATGATTGTGGATGTCTGCTCTTAGGAAACAATGTTGTAGCACACACCGGCTCCCTCAGGTGAGAGTGTTGTTTGGCCCTTTGGCTCTGGGATGCGTTTCGGAAGGGCATCACCATTGCTTGGGGCAGATCAAACTGTGAGACAAACTCTTGATTCCGGGGCCAGAAGCTTTAAGTAGGAATTTCATTTCTGTTATTTCCTAGTTGATGTCTTTGTTAGATGTCATCTCTGACTCTTAGCTTCTTTCTCAAGAGGGCCGTAAACTCACTCAGAGCTGTGGGGAAGCTGAGGTGGGTTAGGTACCCCTAATGCAGATGGTCTGTGGTAGCAATGTGAGTGTGTCATAGACCACAGTGCTCTGAAATGTGTAGCTGGGTATAGCTTCGATTTGACTATCCTTGCCTCAAAGGATTAGAGTAAGCCCTGCCTTTTTACTGTGATTGTAAGAGAATACCTGATGCACATGGTATGAGAAATTCCAGGTCAAAAGGTGGTACGTGGATCCTTACACCTCCAGCCTTTTCTGAGTTTGGGCTGTTTGGACCTTGTCACCTCCTTGAAATGGTTTCAGATAAGAGAAACTCACATGGCACCAAGATTGGGAAGTTGTAACAACATATTGTGAGTTAGAAATTTGCGGAGAGCAGAGAACTGTCTGGATTTCTCACCACAAATAAGAAAGTAACTAATGGCTGAGAGTGAGTGGTCCATACATGTAATCCTTGCACTCTGAATACAGGGTGAGGGGACCGGGAGTTAAAAGCCAGCCTGGGCTACATAGTCAGCCATGGCTCAAAACAACAAAAGAAGGTAATTAAGTACATGAAATAATGGATATGTTAATTAGATGATTGTGGTAATTTCTCAATGTATACATATAGTAGAACGTCACTAGACAGTTTTTGTCAAGCATACCTTAAAATGAAGCCAGAGAGAGGATGAAAAAGAAGTTCACTGTGAGATTTCTTAGAGGCAAAGATTTCTAGAGTGAGGCTGATCGAATTTCCCACGGTCAATATGGGAATCATTGTTTTCCTTTTATATTTCTCCCTGTTTTGTGTTTTCCAAGTCATAGCAAAATTTTAATCTCAAGACTTGCCATATAAGTACATCTCCTGCCGGAAATGGCTTTAGCGGATTACAGTTGCTTGCTGCTAACGCATTGCTTCTTGCCGTTTGCAGGGTGAAGGCAGCATGAGTGGTGCCTGTGGGCAGACTTAGCCATTTGATTTTATTTAGAAGACAGCCACCCACTTGGAAGGTGAGTAAAGACTTGTCTGCAGCATTTTACTTGAACAATTCTCAAGCCTGCTGAAGAGTTGAAAGAGCATACAGTGAGCTTCTGTATGCCTCGAAGCTAGATTGGAATGCTGTTAGTGTTTTTTTTTTTCTGAATTTTTTTCCTGTTTGGGTAGGCTTGTCTCTTTAAAAAATATTTTGATTATTTTTTTGTTTTGTTTTGTTGAAGCACATGGAGTAAGCTGTAAGCATCATGGCATTTTCTCTTAAATTTGTAGGAGCTTCTAAAAATAATAATGTTCTCCCATGAGTGACATTTTAGAACAGTCATAAATTATGTGACACCAAATCACTTCAGTAAATGCTTCAGTGTGTAACTGAGATCTTCTCCCTCATAGTTTACAGAAATAAAAGATTTTAAACCAATGTTGTTAGCATTTTACTAAAATTTTTATCTAATTAGTGTAACGACAGTTTTTATCTAATGGATGGGCAGCTAAGCAGTCTGAATTAGGTTGATAAGAACAATGTGAATATAGAGGTATGGCGCTGGCCCCACGTAGGAGAGACATCTTTGCTTGCCCACCGTGACTGCCTTTGGTTCGTTGGGCGATGGTGACCACCCTCTTTCCTGATCAGTATTTCATAAAGTAAGCTAGTCTCTGTGATCTAATGTGATTGAAGGTTGGTTAATTAAAAAAGAAAACGTAAATCTGTAGGAGAATGTGGAAAGATCACCAGTGGCCATGTGAAATCGAGGTTAATATGTTCATTTCAACACTAGTGAGGCAAAAAATGATCCCAAGCTCTGGGACTTGACTATTTGAGTAGAAATCATACATAATATCTAAAAGACTTGCTGGGCTTTATAATTTTTGTAGTGATTGTAGTTACAAGTTCTTACACATCGGATTACACGGACCATTATTTTTTTGCAGGGTAGCTATTGACTGTTCTGAATTCCAGGTTTCTTATAAGTACACATATTAGAAATATATAGCTCAAGGTAACTTTACAAACCAAACATATGCTGTGTGATTAGCACCTAGATTTAGGAACTTCATCTCATCTGGTAGACACTATGCTGATCTTCTGACGTGCCAGTGTGTGTGTGTGTGTGTGTGTGTGTGTGTGTGTGTGTGTGTAACCCAGATTTTATTTTGTGTGTTTTTGTCAAACAAGCATCTACTACTGTTGTTGCATACAAATGTAGACTGTCCATGTTAATTGTTATGGAGCATTTGCCTGTGTGAAACACAATGATTTATTTATTCCAGCCAATGTGGATCATTTGAAGGGGTTCACTCATTCAGGCTATCCTCCACCGAAATGGGGATTGAGTGAGGTTTATCTTTCCCATGGCTCCAGTGGGGTAGCAGTAGGATGTCCAGCCTTTGGCCAACTTCTGCTGTTTGTGAAGAAGTCCTGAAATGATGGCAGTGCAGGCGCATGTGGAGCTCTGTGTGGTTTCTTCAGTCCTCCTTGACCCCAGCTGCTCCTGTGATTCTCTGCTCTTCTCTGCTGGCGCTGTTCTCTGGATCCTTCTTTGCCTCTCTTACTCTGCATGCCCCCAGGAAGACTGCAGACTCTTTCAGACATGCCTTTGCTGAGTAGTTAAGCTTAGTGGGTGCTGATTCTAGGTGTTAAGTAAGGGGGGAAAACTGTCAGTGTGGCCTTGCCCTTGAGGAGCCACAGTTACGGACACAGATTAGTTGTACTCTAGAGTTCAGGAAAGGAAATTCAGAAGCGTTCATACACTAAGCTGATAACAGGGCTGAATTAACAGACAATAATTGGCATTGTGGAGATTTGAGCATATATAACTAAGTATGTCTGGCTCAGCTTAGCAAGTTGTTTAAGGGCTAGAAGATGCCTTATGAGAAAGTATACTTTTTGCCAGACTCTGTTTTTCTAAATAAAGTTTTATTCAAATACAGTTGTGCTGATTTGCTTACAAATTGTGTTATATAATAGAGTTGAAAGTTGGGTAAAAACTCAGGGTATATAGTTGCAACAAATGATATATGTGGCTCACAAAACTGAAAATATTTATGAGCTGCCCTTTTCAAAATGTTTCTCAGCTTCTGCTTTATGTCACTAAAGCAAGAAATAGTAGGGATAATCTATGTGGTCATATAAAAATCTGAGCTCATCAAGTTTGTTCATTCATTCATCCAACAATATTTAAAGTGCCATTATATTTATGCACAAATGATGATAATCAGATAAAGTTTGTATACTTAGAACATTTTTAAGAGGCGCTTGAGTGTAATGATAAATCTTTCCACCAGCAGCCCGAGCCCCACTGCCACATGGGTGCCCAAAATAACACACAGAAACTTATATTAGGTACATTGCTGCTGGCCAATGACTAGGATTTCTTATATCCTCGCTTTGTCTTGAGTGTCAACCATAGCCATTAATCTATATATTCATAAAGACTTATGGAGGATGCTTGCAGCAAGCATCCTCTTCCCGGGATCACATGGTGGCTCCACAGAGAAGAGAGGAGGAAGAAGAGAGCAATTTCCTGCTTGTCCCTGCTTATATTCTGAGTCTGCCTGCTATGTTACTTCTTGCCTGGATCTCAAGACTTCTCTTTCCTACATTTCCCAGAATACTCCTCAATCCCTAGTCCCACCTATCTTGCTTCCCTATTGGCCAACAGTGCTTTATTCAACAACCAATAAGATAACCATACACAGAAGGACCTCCCCCATCACTTGAGAATTCAAAATTCCATTCTAGGTTTGTGTTTACTATGAGATATACCAAACTACAGTATGAAAATGAAACTGTCAGTTCCTCAATTTAAAACTAATATATCAACTGTCTTAGTTTTATAAAATCTAAGGTACTCTCTGTAATCTAGTGATTTATTCAGTAAGAGGACTGACTGTATAGTGTAGTCTGATATACACCAGTTCTTAGAGCTTTAAGATCCTAACTGTATGCAGTGTGTAACTCCATCCAGGCTGTGTGACCACTGTCTGGTCTGCAGAGGGGGAGGGGAGCTTTTGGTGGGCTTATCACAGCAAGCCATGCAGACCTCTGATCTTATGCTGCTGCAATCATAACAAACCTCAACAGAAAGAACAGCAAACCAAGATAATAAATACAGTGTGGGATGTAGTGTAACAAATGAGTCTATGTTAGCGTGCTTATCTGTTTGCTTGCTCAAGGTCATACATGATTATGTTTAATAGGAGTCTGTAGGCATTGCTGCAAGGAACACAAAGTAATGCCTTTTATATTTCTCTGAAAAATGTGTTTTAAATATCATTTTGACCTAGATAGTGTTTTTCTTTCTCCCTACATATGTGTCTGTACACCGTGTGTGTTGGACATACTGGGACTGGAGTTACAGACAACTGTGGGCTGCCATGTGGGTGCTGGGAATTGAACCCAGGTCCTCTGGGAGAGCAACCAGTGCCCTTAACCCCCGAGCCACCTCTCCAGCATCTAAAAAGTTGTTTTTTAATTGAAACAAAATTACATCATTTCCCTTTTCTCCTTCCTTCCAAGCTACTCTCCCTTGAGCCCCTCCTTCGTTCCTGTTCCCCCTCTCACATTGATAACTTCCTTTTTCTTTGATTATGTAAATTCTAATCCCATCTCACAACTCTTGTTCTTTTTTTTTTTTTTTTTTTTTTTTTTTTTTTTTTCTTATTTTTTGTTTTTCCTGCTTCCTAAGCTCTGGTGTCAACCATTTTGCCATTTTCATGAAGTTGACTATTTCAAATCTATCATGGGATGGGACGAGGAGTGATGGTATGAGTGACAGAAGAACCCGGGGTCAGTCCCATCAGGCCCATTTCCTCTACGTTCCCCAGGGTCCTGTCAGGAGCTGTTCGTAAGCCTGGAGTTCAGTTGGATCCTATCATGTTCTTTGTAGTTCAGTGTCTGTGAACTTGTTGGTGGAAGATGTTGCAATTTGCTTCATTTCTCAGAGGCTATGTCCTTCCTATAAAGAGGTTACTGTTACTGGCACAGTTGGGCTAAGTTTAAATGAAGAGACACAGTGAAACTATTTTGTAAGTCATTAAGCCTGATGTAGGAGGTGACATTGACTTAAAAGTTTAGGTTTTATAATTTTTTTGGTTTTGTGTTTTGTTGTTTGTTTTCATTTTCTTTGAGACAGGGTTTCTCTGTGTAACCCGGGCAGTCCTGGAACTTGCTCTGTAGACCAAGCTGGCCTCGAACTTACAGAGATCCACCTGCCTCTGCCCTCTGCCCCCCCCCCCACTCCCCAGCTGCTTTATACTTTTTTAAGGGTCCAGTTCCTTTGTGCTGTTCTCTTCCTGGTGTTTACCTTGTACTATGTAAATATGATTCGTGAATGCCTTGTTTAGTGGCTCAGCTACATTTATCTTAATTTTTTAAAAAATTCCACCTTTTCTTTTTAAAGGCATCAACTACAGCTTTTCACATGAGGCTGCTGGCAACGTTTTACCATATATCAGTTTCATCTTGAAGGACTCACACCTGGAACCGTATCCTGGGCATCCGTCCCTTGTGCTGTGGGCTTGCTGTGCTGTCCTTTGCAGCCTGCTTCTGGGGAGCTCTTGGACCTTGCCTCTGCATTGGCTTTCCGCTTTCCTCTACCCCACATTCTGATCTTTCTTCTTTTATCTTCTAATTTTGCAAGCTTTCTAACAATTTGCAAATGAGAGGTTAAGACTTCTGAGCTGCTATACACCTGAGAATGTGGCACTCGTGTATAATTTATTGCCTGGCATGGTGTAGAATTCCTGGCTGCAAATCACTGAGTTGCAGGTAGGGAAGTGTCTCCCAGCATCCAGGCTCCACGTAAGAACACAAGAACCTACCGACTCTCTATTCTTTCTAGGACCTTTTATTGTGTCTCTTCATTCTTTTATCATCTGAGTCAGTTTACTGACATGCGGCGGTCAGGATAGACTTCGTTTCTTTCTTTCTTTCTTTCTTTCTTTCTTTCTTTCTTTCTTTCTTTTTTCTGAAATCCAAATGGACACCGTAATGACTAGTTTTATCATGTGATAA